TAAATGGCAAATAAACATCTTGAATCTTGGAAAAAACAAAGGTCCATGTGTGAGAGAAGGCAAGCTTTAGAGTGAATGAAGAGAGATAGCGGTGTCAGCTAGAGCAAAGAGAATCAGAGAATTAAAACGTTATTTTGTGATTGTTTCATTGTGGTTACGCTCTATAGCAGGATTAAACACAGCTGCACCACTTCACAACCCTGTGAGAAGGACTGTATGTGAATGCAGCCAAAACCACATTCTGTTTGTTCTGGCCTGCACCTTGAGTGAGTGTAGCCCTGCCCTCAGACAGACACAGACCTGAAACTGGATTCATGTAATAGGCTACTGATGCCCATTTATAAATGTATCAAACAACATTAGATTAAAAACGTGTTTGTTTCATTTTCAAATTGTCCACAAAGTACATCGAACGTCAGATGTCATGATAAGCACCATGGCTCTAGTACTGGGATTCCAGCAGCTGTGTAAAACGAACATGGGAGTGGCAGTTTGCCGGCTTTTTGAAGTTCAGTGTAAAAGGGCTAAAATAAACCAAAAAATGCCAAGAAGCAGGGTAAAAATGCCTACACTTTGATGTGATCTATGTGTAAAAAGGGCTTTAGACTGTGCTGCGCAGATCTGGCAGCTTAATGATGACTTAAGCTGGGCCTGGATCAGATCTTGTCTTGGCAAGCTGAAGGTCTGTCCAGAGAAAAGGTGCCACTTAATGTAGTTAATTCTGTTTCTTCTATTTTGTGAACTGATTGATGTCTGTTTCTTTGCAGGATTTTATGCGGCAAGCAGGTGAAGTCGCCTACGCTGATGCTCATAAAGGACGGGCCAATGAGGGCGTCATTGAGTTTCGATCCCACTCAGACATGAAACAAGCCCTGGAAAAGCTAGATGGCACTTATATTAATGGGAGGAAGATTCATCTGGTGGAAAACAAACATCGGCCCTGGTTCTCTTGTTCTAGCAGCAGATCCAGGTAAATGAAGCTTGAAGTCAGATATGATCCCTGATGGTGTGTTTGTTTTTTTTTCTTCCTTATTTTTCTCTCACCATTTCTAATTAAGTTTGACAAGTTGAACCCACAGGTCTTGTAGCAGGCAGCGCTCACATAGCCACAGCCGAAGAAATAAGGGTTCTCACAGTCGTTCTGGGTCTCGCTCACGGTAAGTCCAGGGCTCAGCTCCCACACTGGTCTGGAAAGTTATGAAATAATTGGAGAGATGCCTGCATAATTTACCATTGAAGACTTTAAGTAGACCCTAACCTAGTGCATAGAAAGTCTACCTAAGTGCAGCTGTAGGTGTCATTTTATATATTGCGATATTTATCTTTTTTGACATATAAGCATTTAGGCAAAACAGTGTAGCTGCAAGTGTAGCATGTAGCTGCTACGAGTATGTATCATACTGACCAAAAAGTTGAATATAATCAAGAAATTAAATAGAAACCAGGGTATTGATGTTTTTTTTCTGTTTGTTTGTTTGTTTTTAAATTACAAAGCCACGAGTCATTGGTTAATTTTTCTTTTTGCAGGTCTCGTTCTCCCAGCAAGCGCAGGTCTCACTCCAGGTCTGGCCGGAAGTCACGCTCCAGGTCGAAGAGAAAGTCTCCAAAGAAGTCTCATTCACACACCCTTAAATCACATAGTCCCTCCAAGAGCAAAACATCTCGCTCCCACTCAGACGTTCGTAAGTCATGCTCCGAGAGTAGATCCAAAACCAAAACAGCGCGAATCCAGAAGCCCTTCTAAAGAGAAGTCTTCTGGTGAGAAGTCCCGAAGCCGCTCATGGTCCCATTTAGAGAGTAGAAACGCGAACCGTACCTCAAAATCTCCTGGCAAGGACCATAAGCTCTCCAAGTCCCCAGCCAAGCACTCTGCCTCATGATCCAGATCAGTTTCTCAAGACTGACCATCTGTAACAATGTACTAAACAAAATGTAATGATAGAATTCAACCCAGGCCTGTATTTGATGTGTACAGATCAGAAAATATTTGTACATTTTTGAGCCGATTTGGAGGTCGTGAAATTGATGTCTTGTTGGTTTTTACTTTTCCTGTAATTATTGAAGCTTATTGAAGATTATTGAAGCTGTTGTAACTCTGAGTAATGTATTTCTCATTTTCCTAAAGTCTGAATGTATCATGCCAGTCTAGCAGTTGACAACAGGCCAGTTTCCTTGATATTTTGATAACGTGTATTAAGTCCAAATAGACAAAAGTACAGTACATACTAATACAGATTCACAGTTTGCATGTTCTGTGATAGTGTTTGCCTTATAAAATCCCAGCCTTCTTCTAGTGGAAATGGCATTTTAATGCAATCTGCAGCATTTATTTGTGAATATTGGAATAAAATAATTTTTAAGTCTTCATTTTTAAAAACAAGCATCATTTGCAAAAGTTTTAGAAAAGCCCACTTCAAACCTAACTTAAGTCATCAGTGCATTAAAATAAGGCTCATGTAGAAATAAATGATTTTCTTTAACTTGGAGCTTTGACGTGTGATATGTTGTATACACAAGAGTAGTATACTATAGTAAGAAAGTCACTTTCGGCTTTTCACGTTTAGGGGTCGTCATAGCGAATCGTCACATTGAGGACTCCCATGTTGACATTTGGCACGTGTTTTACGCCGGATGCCCTTCCTGACGCAACCCTGATTCGAACCCAGGGCGCAGCCCTGATAGTAATATACTATAGTATTCCTTTATAATGCTTTACAGCAGCTTAGCCAACTCATTTGATAAACAGATGTGGCTGAAAAAATAAGGTCCTTGTTTTTTTTGTCAGACCCGTATTTATAAAGCATAAATCATTACAGAACTACTTGAAACTTTTAATTGGTAACCCGTAATATCATTTATTTTTTGGGGGGGAGGGCGCTACTCTACTTGCTGGACTGCTTCTTGCTATGCGTTGCCATGTGCTTAGCGCTAGCGCCCTTGGTTACCACTCTCCCCCATAATGCACTACTTCAAGAGAGCTTCGGGGTAACTAATTGGGGTAATATGCTAAGTACAAGTAGGAATGAAGGTTATAGTTAGACAATTCTTTAATAGCAATCGAAAAGAGAAACATTGTCTTGCAGCGAACGCTAACGTAAGGTAACGACGCAACGACCCCCATGATATTAGCAATACGGCTAACGTGTAGCTAGCTTCTAAGCTATGTTTGCTAACAGTATCCTAGTGTACGGCGCTAGAACAGAGTTCAGTGACTGACTACTACAGTATTTGCGATTAATGAGGGCTAATTATTCACTGGAACGTCCATTATCGGTGAATGACTTGTGGAAACTGAATTCTTAGCTCTCAATATAGTAATAATCTATTAAAGACAGCTCATAGCTAATAAAATCTAACTTGAGTTAAATCCCGTTTCCAGGTGTGTGGACGTATATTTGAGCTGCCTTTGGTGAGAGAGAACTTAGTAAATAATGGAGAAAGAACAACACAATTCCGTGGTTTTTAATGCTTCAAAAAAAGAACTTTTTACCACGAACAATGGATATAAATCTATGCAGAAGAGACTCAAGGCTCAATGGAAAATCCAAAGGTAAGTTGTGTAACCTGTTTGTGCTGACTAGATATTTGCTTTGACATACTTACTAAATTCCCCACGGTTATACAGTAATTTTGTGAAAAATATAGTTGATAAATAAATGCATTCTCCCCTAGTATGAAAGAAGAGCTGTCTTTGGAGAAGTTGAAAGGTGTCAAGGTGTGGATAACTGCCGGCCCAAGAGAGAAGTTCACCGATTCAGAGGTGATGGATCAGGACAACAACATATCTTATGTTAGCTTAAAATATGTTTAGGCCATTTCATTTTTAAGTTATGGAAAGTAACACAGAGCTTCTAAATGTCTGCACCCAGATTTTCACATAAACGTTTTCACACTGTTGTCACATTATTTCAGGTTGATGTACTGAAACACTACCTGGATGGAGGAGGAAATATCCTTGTCATGCTCGGTGAAGGCGGGGAAATTAAATATAACACCAATATCAACTCTCTCTTGGAGAAGTTTGGAATAATGGTTAACAATGGTGCATAATGAAATTTGTTTAAATGCCCATTGTCATCTATGCAGTTACAGATATTTTATTACAGTTTTATGGAATCACATGGTGTCTTTTCCCCCATTCATCACTGTTGCAGATGCTGTTGTGAGGATTGTGTATTATAAATACTTTCATCCTAAGGAGGCACTTGTGTCTGATGGTGTATTGAACAGGTTTGTCATTACAGTATATACAGTATTATTTCTCTTTACACAAACACATGTATATTTTATACGTTTCAATAAATACAAAAGTGTTTGCAGCCTTATATCCACTGTATGTATATGTATTCAGATGTAGCTGGAATAAATGTGCTTTAAATTAATATATCTTTAAGCTGATACACATCTTAAGTCCCAGGTTTCTGCCTCTTTCATCTCTAGAGAGATCAGTCGAGCTGCTGGCAAAGTGGTCACAGGAGTCATTGAAGATGAAAATGTTGGAAACAAAGCACAGTAAATAGTTTTGTCTTTGTATCTTTATTTGCATTAAGTGTTTTGGAGCTGGCTCTGAACACAAGCTTTTCTGAACTTCTTCTAAAGGGGTGGCAACATGTCCGTGCATATTCTCAGTCATCCAGGTCGTAGTATGCTGAAAAAAGAAAAAAATTATCTGGACTTGGTTTTAACCAAAGCCAAGTCCGGATTATTTTTTTCTACATTTTTTCAGTCTTCTAAAGGGGGTTTTTCTCGCCAAGTGTTTGCTCAAGTGGCATTTGATAGGTTTTTCTCTATAATAATAATGATAATAGCAAGGTCTAGATCTTACTATGTAAAGTGCTTTGAGATGATTTTTGCTGTCATTTGGCACCTTACAAATAAAAGTGAATTGTCTTTCTTTGTGTAGGGCCCTCACATTTGTGTACCCATATGGTGCTACTCTGAGTGTGATGAAACCTGCCGTGGCTGTTCTTTCCACTGGCTCAGTTTGCTTCCCCCTTAACAGGCCTGTTATGGCCTTCTATCAAGGAAAGGTCAGACAAACAATGTAGTTTTTATAGTCATTCCAAGCACATTTATTTATAAATGTACACGTGATGTTGAACGATGTGTCATGTTTTATAACGCAGGCAGGCAAACTGGTTGTGCTGGGGTCTTGCATCATGTTCAGTGACCAATACATAGATAAAGAGGATAACAGTAAAATTATGGTGAGTCCAGCTGACATTTAGTTTGAATATTAACACCCAAATGGTGAAAGAGTATTCTGCTCTTCTATGTATTTTATTGAGCATTAATTATGCACAACAACCTGTCATACTTTTTTCATTCCAGGATGTCGTTCTTCAGTGGCTTACGACTGATAACATTCAGCTGAATCAGATTGATGCAGAAGACCCAGAGGTGAGGATGTATACTTAATTGGAGAATGTCACCACTAATAGTCTTTTGAATTAGCTGACATCCATCTTTTGTCTGTTTCCTACTGTAGATCACAGACTACACCATGTTGCCAAACACAGAGTCCTTGTCAAAACAGCTCAGGGGGTGCATACAGGAGGGTGATGAAAACCCCAGGGATTTCACCTCTCTCTTTCAAAAGTCTTTCTTCGAATTGGCTACTGACACTGTACCCATCATCAGGTGAGTGCAAAATACTCCCGAGAGCATTACCCCACCGTCATGTTTCTCTTCTCGCTAAAAGGTTTGTTTTTTGCAGTGCTTACAAACAGCTTAATGTAAAAAATGAGCCACTGCAGCTAATTGCACCACAGTTTGAGACCCCTCTACCCCAGCTTCAACCTGCTGTAAGTTTCCATCCTGCACAACTGAAATGCTAACATAACATTTTACTTTAAACCCCACAAGTATAACTCTGATGTGGCAGTTGCTTTGCCTTTTAGGTCTTTCCACCTGCCTTAAGCGATTTGCCTCCACCCATGCTGGACCTGTTTGATCTGGATGAAACTTTTTCTTCTGAGAAAGTGCGCTTAGCACAGCTCACCAATAAATGTAAATGATACTTCAACTAGAAATATTAATTACATTTTGGTATGATACTTTCATCATTTTTAAAACTGATTCGTTTACAGGTACAGATGATGATCTTGAGTTCTATGTGCGGAAATGTGGAGAAATTCTGGGGGTTACTCCAAAGCTGGATCAAGATCAAAGGGATGCCAAGCACATCTTGGAACACATTTTCTTCCAGGTTGTAGAGTTTAAGAAGGTGAGTGCCTGCAGGATAACAAGGAGTTTTTTTTATGCAATGGAAGGACTTATCTAAAAGCAACTTTACCCTTTTGCAGGAGCATGACACTGCCAATGAAGCATGAGTCACACCATTGCAACTGGACTCAGTAACAAGTTCACCATTTTGAACTCTACTTTTACTACATGAAGGACTATATTCTATAAAGTGACTTAAAAGTAGACTTTAAAGTATCAACATGATACTGTAACATTTTAGAAAGTGTACATATACAACAGTTAATACATTTTATACCCTTGCTGTATTTCATTGTTAAATAAAATTTAAAATTGCAAGGCACTTGTGCAAATAAAATGACACTTTTATTTAAATATTCAAATCATTTGTTAAAAAGACAAACAGACCAAGGTCCCAGACATGGATCCTGCAAAATAAACAAAATCAAGTTATTTCACAGATTATGCCATAGTATGATATGAAAGAAAAAACATTTTTAAATTTACCTGAGCATCTTACCTTTACATACATTTTAAATCAGTTTTACAATCCAGTTTGATTTGTCCGTTTTCCACAGTTAATGCAGAAGTGACCTAATCATGTGCATTCACAAACCATACTTTTTCCCCTTCCAAACTTTCTCCATGTTGAGTGTATACAGGGAGACGTTCTTAGCAATATCAGGGAGAAATTCAAATAAGTGAGTGTGTAGATTGAGGTTTTGGACTCCATGTGGACTCCAGAGCACTGGACTCCATGCTGGGTCTGGGGCTGTTGCCTTCTGATTTAATCAAAGACAGGTCCCATGACATTTGAGATGAAGTGAGGTCACTGTAATACTGGTCAACAGCAGCAGTCTTTTGCTTTGGAAGCAGCAGGCAGGGAGTGGAGGACTTGCTTTGTAAAGGAACAGTCAGGTGACAATTGAAAGTCTCTTGAGTGCTCAAACTATTCATAGAAAACGTCTGCGGGGAAGAAGTGGTGTCCGAAGGTAGGCAGAGAGAAGCAAGGATCGATAGCCTGGCATTAGACCCATCACCTGTGTCATTTGGCGCTCTTGAGGTGGACAGTTGTTCCAGCGACAAGGCAGACAGTAAACTCTGCCCCCCAAAAAACTTCCTGTCAAGCTCCGAGGGAGATGAAAAGTCCAAGCTTGTCATATCTACGAGATAAAACGTTAGAAAGATTTGCACTTACAATTAAGCCGCTTAACGAGACATTAATGAATCCTTCTATCTTCAGAATATAACCAATTTTCTTACCCTTAATAACAAACGTTTTCTCCATCATTGCCTTGGACCCATGAATGCCACTTGACTTCGAGGTCGGTTTTAAACTGTGGAAGCTGCAAGTTAATTGACCCAGCTGGGGGATCAGCAGGTGATCAGTCAGGAGTGGGTGGGGTGGTGGTGGCGCGGTTAAGCTACACCACATTTTATCCCTTTGTTTATATATGTATATATTTATATTACATTTTATCAGCATTTTCAGATAAATAATTAAAGGTGCTCCGGTTAATGTTAACTTTCATAGCCTAATGAAATAATGTATTGAGCATTTTTTGTATTACTTTTTAAATGCAAATTGAATCGTGAAAAGTGTCCATCACACTTTTGCAGAGCACAAGGCGACATGTTCAAACTGCTTATTTTGAGTGCAGTGGTGCTCAACCCAGCTATATTTAATTACAATGACATAAGAAAGGGAAAAGCACAACTTCATATTTAAGAAGCTGCACTTGATTATCAAAATGATTGCCAATTAATTTTCATTCCAGTCCACTGACTGAGTAATCGATCTCAAGATATTGGATATTCAGATTTTTTACAAATATTTATTATACGTTTTTGTAACGATTTGTTTTCTTTGTCGCTATTAATTATTTTGCATTTCCGCGTACACTTTTCCCTCATTTAATATATTAAGCGTTTGTCATGTGTATACATGGCAATATACAGGGTCTAGCTCCTGGTTTGTAAAATTAAGTAACCTAATTTCATAGTGGGGTTTAGTGTGGGAGCATAATGTTTAGATTTTATTTTGAGTAATAGCAGAACCGTATGTATTTTGAAGATGCGACCGGAAGTTGTCTTCTGGCTGGACGGCCCTACGCGCACATCTAATGCGCATTACGTCACTACCCCGTTTCTACGTTGGAGAAGGGCGCGAGATAGAAATCCAGGAGCGCGGACAACTCGGGTTCTCCAGATGTTCACAACAATAGTAGCTGGCACTGAACCGTGATCACGAACACTGGCTGCTTTTTGAAAATATCAGACACACGGAATACAGCGGTACAGTACTGAATGTACGTGCACATGACGTGCAACGGCAGCAGGACATATCACCGTGTGACCGTAAGCATCAGAAACAGAGGGAAATGTCTTGGCGGCCGCGCGGGTAAGATGTTCATATTTGCTTTATGAGTTAATTTTAGCATTAGTATTACTTGCTTGGCTACACATGGTTATAACTTTGAATTTTAATGTTCCAACGTTAAATACATTGCGTCGGCTAAGGCAAAAGGCTTATTAGACCCAACCTTACAAGATTTAAATGCTTTATGGCCTCTCTGTGCCGCCCTTTTCCTGGACAGTCGCGATAAAGGCAAGTAAGGGTTAAGTATTCGTTTTGACACCAGACATATTTTCTGTTATCTCACTTTAATCAAATAAATCTAACGTAACTAACCTCATAACTTTGCTAAACAGCAGTTTATGCATGAGAGCTGCTAAATCCCAGCCTACCATGAAAATAACGTTTAACCTGATAATCCAGTTGCCTTAGCCACATCACTAGGGCGGGTCGATGGCTAGTTCTTGCTTTCACTGTCAGCTGTATTCATGCACATGACAACTGTTTGGTTCTCAGTGAGGATGGGGAGGAGGCCGTGCACCCAGACACTGATTCTGATGTGGCAGAGCAGAGAGATGGTGGGAAAGTGAAGGTGAAATGGACACAAGAGGAGGTGATTGTCAGTATTGTCCCAGAAATGTGTGTGATGTCAGTGACTTCTGAACCTGCCAAAGAAAAAGCTTGCTTATTTATTTGTTTGTTTGCTTATAGGATGACAAACTCAAAGCTCTGGTTCAAAAACGGGGACCAAATGATTGGAAATATATTGCCAGCTACATACCAGTAAGTTTGATAAACTTTTCTGATGCTTCTAATAAACACAAGGACCCTGTTGGCTGTGTAGTGTCAACAGAAATGTGTGTGTTTTCACTTGTTTTGTTTAGAATCATAGTGAACACCAGTGTCAGCACCGTTGGTTTAAGGTCTTGGATCCAGAACTGGTTAAGGGTCCTTGGACTAAAGAGGAGGATGAGAAGGTAGGCCACTTTTGAGCTAGCAGTGCATGATTATGACTCACAAAGAACAGTATATCTTGTGTGATTTGTCAAAATAAGTTGTAATCCACATGTCAAAGTGTCCTTGGGCAAGACACTGAACGCCCCCGTTGCCCCCGATGGTTAGAGTCATCAGTTGAGTTGGTGCCGCAGATGGCTGCCTCGGTTCTGTACTGGAAACAAATTCCTTGTGTGTGTGTAACATACTTGGTCACTAGAAATAATAATACAATTGAAAGGAACATGAGTTCTATGTTCTTGAAGCCCATAGTTGAAAAGGAAATTATAGAGATAGTAAATAAATGTGGTAACAAAACATCTAGTGATAGTGATGGTATCACCATGGCAACTGTTAAATGGGTAATTGAAGAGATATGCAAACCATTAACACATATTTTTAACATGTCATTTTGACTTGGGCAGTTCCCTAAAACCATGAAAATTGCAAAGGTTATTCCTCTGTATAAATCTGGTGATAAGCACAACTTCACAAATTATAGGCCGGTTTCTCTGTTGTCACAATTTTCAAAAATTCTGGAAAAACTCTTTAATAACAGATTAGATACATTTATTGAAAAAATAAAATCCTCTCTGATTGCCAATACGGTTTTAGGTCGAACCGATCGACATCTTTGGCCATTACCGACCTGATG